AAGATTCTATGCTAAGAATGTTGGCAAAAATAAGGGTGATGATGATCATGGAAAAGATGTGATTGAAAAATTCATCGGAATGTTGCGTAATGACCCAAGCGCGTAATTATAAATATATTTTTTCATTTAATATTACATTGAAAATTAACAATGCCTGGTTATTAAAATGTGTGTTATTTGAAATTCTAGCGAAGTTCGACGTGCCGTTATATATAATATTGAATATAATGAGGAAACTCTAGCACATATATTGCAACGTGCACGGGATATTGATCCAATGAACCGTCGAGGCGTTTATATGAAATTAACTGAAGAAATTAACGACTTTCGTGTTTTATCTATTGAGGATCGTGAAAAATTATTAAGCTGGGGTCTTACAGATAGGTTAATATTCTATTCTGGTCTTAATCGATTTATATGAAATAAGAATTTTCCATTTTATTACCAATAATACACTATACAGAGATCCTCATGTTAAAAAAGCGTGCGTGAGAATGCTCTCAACGAGTTGGATTGAACATGCGAACAACAACTTGTTGGAGGTACTACGACATCATTGGTTAATTCAGTAATAGTATAAATAGTTAATGTCTTTTGCCTTATTAGTTACTTGAACGGTTAGATGTTGTGGGAAGTAGTATTGCTCAAGAGGTCCTTATATCAATGTTCAATGCGCGCCCAGATATAGTGCAAATGTTAAATTTCGATGGTAATTTTAACCAAGGTTATGTTTTATCTGGGCAAATGTTGATATTGATTAGTTTACTTCTTTTTTTTCTTTCTTTTTTTTTTAAAAAAATATAACATTTAGATGTATTTTGGGAAAATCTAACAGCCGAAGGAAGTTTTCTCGTACGCGTCTTCTGTGAATATAACAGGGAGGTCTGTGTGATATAATATTATTATTTGATTTTTATTTACAGTCAGACCTCCCTAAATGCACGCTATATGAAAAACTTCTCTAAATGCACGCCTCTGCTTGGTCCAAAATAATATAAAAATTATAGATTTTAACCTCTCTAAATGCACACCCTCTCTAAATGCACATTTTTGAAATTGTTTACTATGGTGGTCTGACTGTATTCTATTTTATTTTATTTTATTTTTTACTCATCACTTTGGTTTATTGAAAAATAGTACGAAGGAAAGCTTGATGAAATACTGCCAGAAGTGACACGACTTGCTTTTTTTATTCAGAGATACAATAATTTCATGAATCAAGCGTCAGACGAGGAACAAGTAAACTTTGCGTTTATTGTTGGTCAATTATTTTTATTGGCCAAATTATTAGACTATGGGGATGAAGTTGGACGGAGAAAAATGTGTTCACTCCTACGTAAGCCTTTTTTTTTGATATATTTCGTAATAGTCAATCAATATTAACTTTATGCTTTGTCATTTAGGTGAGATGCTTATGTCATCAAATATTTTAGAGAGCCATATTGAAAGCATTGTGGAGATAGAAAAAAAAATTTCCATTAATGAGAGAGATTTCACACGGTATGTATCGTAATGTTTTCTGCGCCATTAAAACACTGACAATCATTATAAAATTTAGTTCCATGATTGAGATAATCACTGATATACGCGAAGGCATAGAAGACGACGAGGGTCCTTCACGACTTACATATCAGGTAAGGGTTTTGATAATTACTTTGTATTACTGATTTTATTAATATTGATCTTCTATGTGTTTAGGATGATTATGACCTATCAGCGAACATGTCTCGCCTCAGTATCAATATATCTTCCATGAAGATGTCTGTTTTATCTACTGATCTCAAAAACACCGAAAGAAGGAGCTCCATTTCTTCTACGTGTATGAATAATAATGACACCCTTCAAGAAGATAATGAAATGAAAATAATATTGGTGAATTTGAAATGCCTGCATATAATACGTTGTATGCTTGAAAAGAATTCAGAGGTTTGTCACAATTCTATACTGTTTTTGTGTTCTGATGGTGATAAATGCAATTAATAATCAAAATTTGTTTAGAGCCTACGGGATAACCCATCGATGTATGGTCTTATGAACGAAATTATTATACCTAACATACAAAGTCATGAACCAGTGCTGCGAGAATTAGGCATACATTGTCTAGGTTTATGTTGTATACTGGATCAGGTAAGTATAATTATATTAATGTATTAATTTCATAAAAAATTGTTGTTAATTAATACGTCTTTTATTAAGCCTCTGGCGGTAGAGAATTATAGTTTATTCATGCATTGTCTACGACATGGACATCCAGAGTTACAAGTTAAATCCTTGATGGTAATGTATAACAACAAACTTTGTTTTTGAAATCCAATTTTAAAGTCACTTACTGAAAAATCTACAGGTAATGTCAGACATCCTCATGGCATATGGTTATTCAACAATAGTTTCAAGCACTCGACAGGTAAATTAGATAAAATAAATGCCTAATATCGACCAATTTTATTAAACTATCTTTCATTTTTTTCAGGGTAATGAAGTCCTGGTGTCATTACAAGAATGCTTAAAGAATGAAAATGAGGAAGTTCAAGCTATTGCAGTTGTAGGAATATCTAAATTAATGCTTTCTAAAATGTTGCGTGACAAAAATGCAAGTGACTTTATCGTTATGTTGTGTATTTTATGAATCTCGACATATAAATTTACCAATTCATTTATACAGGTCCTAAAAGAACTTGTACTGTTATACTTTGATAGTAAAACTACTCCAAATCTTCGTTTGAAGCAATGTTTAAGTTATTTTTTCCCAGCATTTTGTCATTCTTCGTTTGAAAATCAAACGTTAATGCAAGAGGTATTTCAAAAATATCCTATCATATGTATTAAATCAATTTATTGGTCTATTGAAATATATAATCACCTTACTTTGATTGTTAGATATTCCTTCCAACCCTTATCGAATTATTGAAAGAATACAGATATCTTGACAAGAATGATAATGCGGTGCCACCGTTGCAGATTGTGCAACAATTAGTGGACTGGACTAATCCTTTCAAAGTTGTGTGAGTCATTCGCTTTATAAATGACACATGTTTTTTTTTATTTACTAAACGAACTGTTTTTTAAAGTAAATTAGAGCGAAGTGAAGAGACAATTGATTACGGGTCACATGCAGAACTCGCAATTTCTGTTGTAAGGGAACTGTTCTCCGAAACTGATAGTAAGTGTTAAGCACTAAAAAACCGATGCAAATTTAAATAAATAATTTATCGGACTTTTATGTGGGTAGAGGATATAAGGAAATCGCTCTGTCAGACTCTTAATAAGTTCCAGATTGATGAGTCTGCTGGTGTCGTGAGATTCAAAAAACTTACGTTTCTTGTTGGAAATTTGAAATCAGTAAGCTTGCTATATAATTTTATTAACAATAGCAAAGTATTTTCATGGAGTCTTATTTGGATTTATTTTATAGAAGCGTCCTTTGGCAGATTCAGTAGCTAGAAATGCATTAAATAAATTCGAGAGTGCTCTACTCAATTATTTCGATGATGCACCTGATGCCTTGGACGATGAAGAGCTTGAACAACTAAAGGATATTTTTGAATTTGTTGATCATCTTGAAGGTTATTTATTTGTTTATATAACGAAATTTTTAACAATTTTAGCTAATGGTTGTTTGTTTATTAGATATTCCAGCGAGAGCTTCACGGTCACGGTGAGTTATAGTTTCTGACTTATTAATCTTATTAACATATATTATATATTTTTCTAATGAACGTTTTATTTTACAAAATAAATCTTGCATATATAGAAAATCAAAAGAGAGTGCTATTGCTTCTTTAAGAAGTTATTCGACAGCACACGAAATTTTAGAAGAGTAAATTGTATTAGAATAAATACCAGTTACACGGTGTCATTTAAAATTTATATCTATATAAATAATTAAAGACAAATTTTGAAGCATTGATATTTTTTAACCTATATATTAGGCCATGCAAAATTATCGGTACTGTTCTTGATAGGGTAAGGGAAAAAAATCGATTTGTATACCGTTCCTGATAGGGTTCTGAAAAAGAGCCTCTAAAATACTATTACTATAGTGAAGTATATGAAGAAAGTTAGATTAGGGTTCGTTTTAGAACCCTATCAAGAAAAGTACTCAAATTTTTTTATTAACTCCATTAAGATCGTTACTGCAGAACCATCAGGAATAGCACTTCTGCCTAAAAGCCCACTCGAATAGTATATATAGTTAACGAAATGCATAGTTTTATCAATTTCGTCAATGATTTTATTATAGTTTCGTCAATTTTTTCATTATAAAAGTAGTATCAATGAACCCAATATCTGGTGCCAGAGGTGCTTCCAATTCTGATAAGGCTAATCTTTTATCACTTGAAAGTAAATTTTAAGAGATTGCAATGGACAGATAAATTACGCTGCGCTTTTATAAGTTTTCGCTACTTGCTTATTTGGTAAAGAAACGATTCTCAGATCAACACTCTGGATGAACGTTTGACAATTTATATAAATTCCTGGTGATTGTGGTCGGCAAATTGTTATATCGGTACAGGCACACCCCCCAAGTGCTCTGGGAACCAAATATTAGTGTTCGACCCGAAATCCGACTGTCTGAATTGATCCTTAAATCCAAATATTCGGATTGGTCAAGAAACTTAAATAACGAACCTAAGAGTGCACACAAAAGCTGGCTTTATATGAGTGTCGCTAAAAGAAACCCCGAAAATTTAAATATGACTTATATTTAAAATTTCGGGTTTTCTTTTAGCGACACTCATATATAATTTGATGCGGATTCAATCCGGTTTTAATAGAATCCGGATGGCCTGTCAAAAATAGGATCGAACACTACCAAATATAAGTTTGCATCTAGAAGGGGTATGCATTTGTAGAATTAATATAATCACACCTCTCTAAATGTATGCATTTAGGCCATATAAACTTATATAATCGGTTTTCATATCCCGGGCGGGTCAGTATATATCGACCAATAGAAATCCTCCACACGTATCATGTGATAAAACGCTGAATCGCTGAGTTCTTGCGAAATAGTACTGTTTCCAATCTTTTTTTTGTATTGACCTATCGTTATATTAGTATCGCCTAAATGCTAGTCAGCAAGATATTTATAATGCGTAATCGAAAGCATATATACTGGACCCTAATAAATGATAATGTAATTTATTTTATCAGTACTCACGTGCAGCTTGAACTAGGACTATACTTGATTTTACTTCAAAAAAAAGAAACCCATTTATATATAGTCGCTACAATTACTCCTAGCAAAAATCATTAATGAAACTGATTAAAATCAGTTCGTTATAATTATTAGCTAAATAAAGATACAATTAAAAAACAGCATAAAGTTGGAGGACTTTGTAGTAGAAAGAGTCCAAAAAATATGATTTTGAGATAATCAAGTTTATTGTGATCGGAAATTTGGTTAATAATTTCAGGTGATGCGATTTCGCGCCAAAAGTTAATCGAATCTTACATCAAGAGCATTTTGATTCCTTTCTATTGCAAATTAGTGGAATTGATTATAAAAGCTTTTAAACTGATTTGTCTTCGGAAGTAGTGTAAATATTTTACCAATAGATTAGTTGCCAACTATAGTTGCAACTAATCGATTGTTCACATCACGTGGCATCAACAGATGATTAGCCAATCAAACCAAAGGAATTAATTCAGATCTGCCCGACTAGACGGAATTTCTCGGAATTGTACTAGTTGAATGATTAATCGATTAGTTGTTTAAAATTTTTTCAAATCGACTAGTTGGAAAGTTGGCAACTAGTTGATTTTTCAACTAACGATTTGGAACACTATTCGGAAGGTACAATTAATAAATTTAGCCAGTTTTGGTAATACCCAATTGAATATATAAATTGTATAAACTGTAGTTTTAAGCTGTCTTAAAAACTTGCATTTCACAACAATTGCAACATAAATCTTTACTAATCAAAGCCATTTTTAATTTATCGCTAGTAAAAAACGGTTTATTTCACTCATCCATGATCTTGTACGATGCTTCATTTTTTTTAAGTTTTATATTGTATTTTTACGGGTGAAAAGTGACATTTCCAAATCAAGATAAAACTGCAGTATAAATTCTGTGAGTAAATAATTAAGACGCCATAAATGTCGAGGCTTTGAATCTTCGGTTATGACACATGAAGCTTGTCGGCTGAGTAAACAAACGCAAGCTAAAACATTCTCAATGGAAGATACGCGTGGTAGTGTATTAGAATTCTAAGCGAAAGCATTAAGAATGGATGGTCAAAGCTTCTTTTAATCATACTTTCAAGAAGATATTTCAAGGGCATACTATCGAGAACGGTTGGTTACGACCCTTATGTGTGAGTAAGAATTGCCATAATAAATTTATTATAAAATCTTTAGTCACAGGATATAACTGATTTATCCCCATCTATGTAATATAACTTTCATGTACTTATTTTAGAGTTACATAGATGGGTTAGCCAGGGAATAAATTAGTTTGTATATGTTAAACCCACCCTATAACGGTATCCAATTTTCAGCCTAGTACAGTACCAGACAGTAAAACGCGTCCAATGTTTATTAGTAAAAACTTTAAAGTGTTATAACTTTTTTAGAACAAGCTAAATCAAAAAACCCTTGACAAATTGATAGGTTTTTAGATAAACTACATTTCTTTCAGAGGGTTTTTTTTTTATTCTTTGTTTTGAAAAGTTATAAAGGATTAAAGTTTATATGAGTTTAAAAAATTTTAATATAGGAAAAAAAAGAAAACATATATATATTTTTAACCAATCAGAATCAATTACACAAAAATTAGCCAATCAGAATCGATTATATAAGCATCAAAAATTGGCGCCTATTGGATGTCTTTTACTGTTCCGTACTGTATATAAATTTGATGCGATAGTTTTTAAGGCATTGTAAGAATATTGTAGACTTTCAAGCGCCTACACATAAATCTGTCCACATAAATCTGTCCACTTACCAGTTTCAAATGTAATTATACTAATTCCAAGGAGCATAGCGGGCTTTCATTGTGATTGGCCAGTTCTTGTAGATCATCCCGTAATATAGTAAAAATTTTATTGGTTTATTGA